TTTAGACCGCTGTATACTTTTGATTCTGAAACACTATGATATAGAAGGCTGGGGAAATTTAGCTATCACTAAAATGTTTCCTGTACATGCAGGAAGACCTGAGTTTGGACCCATAGTACCTGCATAAAAAGCCAGGCATGTTGATGTACATCTATAATCCCAGTTCTAGGCGAGCTGGGCATGGCAGCAGGAACATTCCTTGAAACTTATTGGCCAAATTGATGAATCCCAGGTTCAGCAAGAAACTCTGCCTTAAGAAAGGGGGCGGGGGATGATGATGGAAGATACCAGACAGCCATGTCTGTTACCATACACAAAAATCCTCATATTTCTTAAGCATTGAAATTTTATACTTTTACACTGATTGTTTCCTTTTAGTTACTATTTATTTTTCATGGGAAAGGATAGTATTCAGACCTGACATAATTCACTTACTTTCTTTAGTGAACAGAAGCAAAACCAACATAAAGATTGGGCTGCAGCCAAATCTAAAGACATACATAAGCACACCTTACTTAGGCTCTCTGTTTACTTTTACAAACTTTATGCTTCCTACAGCTCCAGGTATCTAATGATGACTCATTATTCTGAGATCACTTACATTTATTCTTTTAATCTGTACTCATCACTTGATGCCTGAATTAAACCCAGGGATCTTTAGCTGTAGTTGCCAGAGAAAAGGCATTTTACCTCATACTCATATTCATTAGTTTCCCAAAGGTAAAAAAACGAAAACAAAAACAAAAACCCAACTTGGTTATTGTACACATTAATTTAAAATATTGAGCTATGTCCACATATTTGCATATATATGCAAATGCCCAGGGCCATGAAGAAGGTGTTCAAATACAACTGAGGAGACTGGTACCGTACCAGGCAGACATTAAAAGGTACACACATATTCCTAGAAGTTAAGAATCTCTGGAATTTTTAAGTTTCATAGTTTTGCAATTTTTTCTTTTCAATTGTATTATATTTTTTCATTGGAAAATTTTAGAAAGAAAATGGTTACCATGTAAAAATATAAACAGGTACAAGAAATGCTAATATCTTTTTCATGTTTGTTTGGTTTTTATTTTAGAAATGTTTTGAATGGTGAGATGACTCAGTGTGTAAGGGTGCTTGGCGTTAAGCCCAATGACAGGTGTTTGGTCTTTGAGACCCACATGATGAAAGGAGGGAAACTGACTCCTGGAAGTTGTCTACTGACCTCCATAAGTGTGCTGGGTCATATGAACAACCAGCAACCCCCCCACATGTAAATAAATGTAATTTAAAGAAAAATAAAGATTTGAAAGTTCCCTATGATGATACATGAGGCAGTTTCAATTTTGATTGTGATCTTTGCATCAAAATGTATTTACCAAGGTATTGGTGTTATTAAAGCCATTTTTTCTTGGTAATAATTTGCATGATACCTCACTCGAAGCATTTATGTCAAACTTGAAATATTGGGTAAGGGCACATAGCAGAATTTACAAGTTTATCAGGTCTTATCAAGCTTTTTTTGAGGTTTTCTCCTAGACCACCCTTCTGTGCCCAGCCCACTGGTCCTTGATATTGTTAGTCAGACAACCACACTGAATTTTATAAAGGGTCAGTTTACCCCACAGGGATTTCCTGTCTACCTGACATAGTGTTCTAAAGACATCTGTGCTTGAAATATATTAAAAGGGAAACTTTGAAACCAGACATCACTTGTGTCCCCTATCTCTGTTTTTTTTTTTCCATTTGTTGCTTATAAAGATCAATGTCTACACTCAGATTAAAAAAAACCACTCACTTCTGTTTTGTAGAATAAAATGGGTGAGGCTCTTTATGGAGATAAAAGTTGGAAGCATATGTGGATTCCTCCTCATTCCAGTTAGGATAGCAATCACCAAGGAAATAAGAAACAGCAAATGCTGATGAACTAGCAGTATTGGAGAACTTATGCTGCCTTTGTGAGAATGAGCTTTGAGGTTTTCTTGGGGTTACCACTTTGGGCATTTAGCTGAAGTAAGCAAACAAGAATATGAAACATGTACCTGCAACTGCATGGCATGGTGCCCCTCTATTTATAGACAACCTTAGTTCTCCCAAATGGGCACAAAGTAAAGTGTTGTAACCAGTCTTTGTGGTACTTCGGTCGATACAGCCAAATGGCCCACTTCGTACCAGAGAGGGGGGAGTGTGTATTGAAAAATTGCAGGTAAAGATGCTAAGGAAGAGAGAGAGGCTGGATAGAGTCAGGAGGGAAATCCAGTTAATACTGGATCCCCCCCCCAAAAAAAAGATGGAGGAGGATCAGCAATAAAACACTTGGATAACATGGGTGAAGTTCTGGGTTTTCTTCTTAGCAACACATACACACACACACACACACACACACACACACACACACA